GTATCATTGATGTTTCAATCTCTCTCTCCCTCTCCCTTCTTTTCTGAAATCAATAAAAATAAATAAATAAATAAAAAATAAATAAATTAAAAAAAGAATAAATAAACACTCCTGGCCCATTTCGCTCAGTGCTGAGAGTGCCCACCTGTACCCTGGAAGGTCATGGGTTCAATTGCTAGTAAGGGGCAGGCACGTGGGTTTCAGGAAGTTCAATACCCCCTTTGTGGGGACACATTAGGAGGCAACCAATTGATGTTTCTCTCTCTCTCTCATTTTCTTTGCCTCGCCCTTTCTCTTCCTCTCTAGAAAAAAAAAATCAATGGAAAATCACTATTCAGGTGAACCTAAAAGAAAAATTAAGAATTGACTTCAGCCCTGACTGGTTTGGCTCAGTGGATAGGGCGGCGGGCTGCGGACTGAAAGGTCTCAGGTTCGATTCCAGACAAGGGCATGTACCTTGGTTGCGGGCAAATCCCCAGTAGGGGGTGTGCTTGGAGGCAACTGAGCGATGTTTCTCTCTCATCGATGTTTCTAACTCTCTATTCCTCTCCCTTCCTCTCTGTAAAAAAAAAAAAATCAATAAAATATATTTTTTAAAAAGTATTTATTTCAGAAAAGCTACAGGAGAGGAGACCCAAGATGGTGGTGTAGGCAACAGCCTATACTCGCTGCCACCCACAACCACATCAAACTTATAACCAAAATACAGAACCATCAGCAAGAACCGCTGGAAAGCTGGCTGAATGGAAGTCTTACCACTAGAGAAGTAAAGAAAGCACACTGAGACTGGTAGGAGGTAAAGAGGCTCAGAAGGTGCTGGTGCTGGACCCATTTGGGCCACTTTTCTAATTGGGAGGGAGATCGTCACTACTGAGGTCACCTGGAGGAGCAAAGGTTCCCAGTGCCACACCAGACTCCCAGCCCAGACTCCCAGAGCTGGTAAAAGAAGTGCCTACCGGTAAGAACAGGCAGAAAGAAGTACGGGCTGTAAAAACCAGTGCGGATTGGGGCTCAGGGAC